ATTTTAAATGCTTTTGTGTCTCATCTAAACTGCCGTCAATGGACACCAACTTGTCCTCCACTCTATTCAATGTCTCTCTTTGTCGGACTAACTCTCGACCAGTTTTCACACCAATCTTTTCGCTCTCAAGAATCAAACCCAACGTCTCTTTAGTGCTGACGAGTGATTCCTCTTCGACTCGTTTCATCTCATCAAACAATCCTCTCCGAGAGTCCCTCTCATTCAGAAACCCATTATTCATATTATCTTTCAATATATTCTTATTGGTAAACGAATCCATTGTTGGTTCGATGGGATGGCTATTAGTCGATGAATTCATTTTGTGTACAATATTTCATACAAACACTAAACACTATAATCAATAAACAATTGTTTTAAGGAAAAAATAATAACTAGAATTCAATTGAATTAGACGTCAAAAGTTTTCGCACAAAACAAACAAAAGTTTCTCTGAATTGAATAATTGGCGACAAAAACACATTTTGAAACACAAATTGAATGAACCGTTTTATAACAGCAATGAAATCAATATATTTTAATTATAACAAACGATAATAATTATGAATTAACATATTATTTAATACAAAAGTATTACAGTAACACAAACTAGTATCGCAATTAACGTTGACGACCATAATTGTTAAACTAATTTCTAACTACACATATTTGGCGACAAATTATGATATTGTAATAAATGTACAGAAAATATGACGAATGGTTTGAATAGATTTGGTTTTATTCAATGATATTCCGGTGTTTTGTTGTCACTTATCAGTGAAATTGAGATAATTTCCTATAAATATTAAATACCATAATTGATAAGAGAGTGAAACACTCAAAATGCGAACACAATCTATGAGTTGAGCGCAAATTGTTTTATTGTTTCGTAACTATTTATACAACTATTTATTCAACATTAATGTTGATTTACACGTCATTTGAATTAATCATCAAATACTGCATATTCTTATAGTTTATCACTAATCATAGAAAATATTTATATAGCAATAATATCAATAAGACCCGGATTATTAAACCTAACAACAATTAAATGATTATATAACAATTATAATTGCCATAAACTATTTCACGCTATTGTGTAATAATACATATTTATATTGTATTAAGTTTAATTGAAAAGTTTTAAAGTTAATTCAAAACTTTGCAAAACATATTTACAACAAGTTAGTAATGTTTGCTTAACTAAAGTTACATTAACTAAGTATTGCATTAAAAAACAAATATAATCTAATAGTATGCGTAAAATATGATATATTTGGTTGAATTTCGCAATTCATTGTCTAATATATCGTTCAATAATTATTTATTAACATTTTATTTCAAGTAATTATGAATTAATTGAATAAAATTGAGATTAAAAGCAAAGTTTAAATGTTTAGCGCAAACCATTAGATGTCTCGCTATATGTCTCAGCACTCAATGAAACACAAGTTTTGGCGTAAGTTTGCAAACATTGGGTTTGTTTTGGTTTATTGTCCGACAAATTGTCACTCAAATGAGTGGTGAAAATGTCTGTCAAAAAGTTATTGCTTTTGAAATACTTGTTGACAATTAGGAGACGAAAGAAGTGTCTATTGTTTACAGCGTTTATAATAATAGTTATAATTATATTAATAATAAATTTCAATCATTTGTTAACTCATCTAAAGTGCAGTGAATTGAAAGCAAAGGCTTTGAATGAGATTTGTTTGTCGTATAAAAGCCGTGAATTTAGCGGCAATTTATGCCATTTATTATGCGATACGAATCTCGTATTTGACATCATTTCTACCCAAAGCGAAGACTCGTTTCCTTTCTTTTGCCGTCAATTGGAGACCAATTTTGGGACCTTTTGTCTTCTTTTTGGCATTTAATGGGCGTTTGGATTGAAATGTCTTTTTCGTATCACTCAAGAGGTATGTCTTATATCTGAACTCTTCATTCATTAGGCTTTTGGGCAACACTTTCTTCACGAACGACTCGAGTATACTCTTGTCATTGTTTTGCTTTAAACCGATCCGATGTCCAACTGATAGCACTTCTTGTGGCAAACTTTTATGAGTCTCTAAAATAACACGTTTTTTGGTTAACCACTAGTTTTTGAGATGAAAATCATATATATTTACAAACCTTTCTTTGAGGCCATCATTTAATAAGTTTTATTTGTAATAATTATTATACAAAACAATTGATTATAAATTTAATTTAAAATAAGTTTTTATCAAAAATAAATTCAATTTAAAAATGTGTTTACATTTCATAAAAAGTAATAAAAAGTATTTTTGAGACCAAAACCAAAACATTGATAACAAATAACGTCTAAAAACATTACAAAATTTTATAAAGTTTTTAGAACTTTGTATTTTACATATAACTTTTATAACTTTGTATTAAATCATTTATTTTAAAATTTGAACTATAAAATTAATTGAGAAACAAATTGTTATAATATATGGATTGAATGTATTATTCAATTAGTGTTAACAAAATATAGGCGTCTTTGGGATTCTTATGGTTTAATGAGTGGTTAAGCTTCAATTGAGACCTCAATAGTCTCTCCTTCACTCATATCCGACACTTGGATTGAGTGGTCTTCATCTTCGGTACGATTGACGCACTCTTTCGCGACTTTCATATGTTTGGAGATAATGTCTTCGTTCAGGATTTGCGTCACGCCTTTCAGTGATGTCTTTGGCTTCAATGCATTATTTAGCAGTTTGTTTGTCGTCAGGTCTGAGCCAATGGGTTGCCTCTGAGGCCAAACACATGTCGAACAACTAGTATTCAAATAAAAGAGTGGTTTGTTTTGTAGGACTTCCCTCTAATCATAGATTCAATTAGAAGACAATATGCGAGATATGACGGTAAGTTTGTGTATACATCACTTAATCGGACAAAGCTTTAAATTAATGTTTCAATTTTTGCATCAAAATTGTATTTTAATTATAGGTATATAAAAATATACAATTTGTAATAAATTATGTAAATTTGTTTATAATTATGATCACAATTAAGTCAATCCTTTCATCAGTTTGTTATTTAATTGAATTAAAATATTTTCAATTTTGTTGATATCACTCATGAGATTAGATCTTTGAAAGCAATGTTTATATATCGCACTAAAACTGTCTGAAATGAACACATTATGGCTTCGATGGTCTTTCTCAGGGTTTGGCTAGTATAATATCTAGGAAGGGTACTTTTTATATAATGCTGTGTGAGAGTACTCCAGCAGCAGTGGCCTTAGCTACCGTGTGAAGAACAGGACTTCTGTGTGAGGGAATGTTTCGATGAAATCGCAGTCATTGTTATCCTCGCAATGACTGATCCACTCAATGGAGTCGATGACCGCTTTCTTCGTGTATATCATGTCTGAGTCGATGAGAAGGATGTGTTGTGCCATAAGAGCCAAGTGTTCAAACTTAATGTCACACAACTCTAACTTTGGTTTGATTTCCATAAAATGTCTTAAAAATTGTATTATTTTGAGCCCAACTTCTGTCCGCTCGACGAGTGGTCGCGAAACGATTGGCCAATAGTTTGGCGTAAAGTATGAGATGTCGAGAATATGATCGGCGTATTTGACGCCATAAAAGTGACCACAAGTGCCCACAACTGCTGGAAATATCGTCGGATAGACTTTGCTTAAGACAAACTCATTGTCTTGTATGAGAAGCCATACATTAATTAGTGTGGTTTCGTTCAATTGGTCCACATCTGTGACAATCGGTTCCCAAAGAAACTGATTTATAAAATACAGATCACTTGAATTGGCGGCCATTCCTGCGGTCACCGAATGACCAAACCTTTCGGCCATCACTTCGTTAATCGCGTTCACAATTAACCGCTTATTGTCTTTGAAATACTGTTTCCAACCATTACTGCCGATCAACTCAAAAGTGGTCAAAGTTCTGGCCTTCAGCACAATCTTGTCGGCCAAACGGTTCCGACGGTGACTATCATACAAGTGGGCGACAAACACATAATCCTTGCCATTGTGTCCATCAATGTTTGGACAATCAATTAAGTCCAATGTCTAGCATAGCGTATTATTTACCGTATTTAACGGCGATTTAAGTGCCGAAAATATGCTGTTTGTTTAGAGTAAGTTTCGGAAACGAAAGTTAAGTGACGTGAAATCTACTCAATTGTTTACTAACTTTAAAATTATTAATATAATTATAACTATTATTATAAACGCTGTAAACAATAGACACTTCTTTCGTCTCCTAATTGTCAACAAGTATTTCAAAAGCAATAACTTTTTGACAGACATTTTCACCACTCATTTGGGCCAGGGTTACTTATTATCGACGGAGCATTTTGTGAACTATTTTTATGTCAAATTTCACGGTAAAAACGAATTTGAAATCAAAATATTTTTATCTCGAATATTTTTCGAGTTATTCGACTTAGAACTTTTGTTCGAAAAAATGTTTTTTGCAAAATATATTAATATTTTATATGATTTCAATGTAGATTTTAACGCTGAACAGTAATCTGAAATCCAAATCTATTTAGGTCGAATAGTTTTCGAAATATTCGACTTTAAAGTTAAATCCAAACATTCCTTACCTAACCTAACCTAACTAAACTTAACTTAACCTAACTTATATTATGTTATATTTGGTTTGGTTAGGTTTAGGTTAAGTTAGGTTAGGTTAGGTAACATTTTTAGCGTGAATTTTGACATAAAAAAATTTCATAAAATATTCTGTCGATAATAAGTAACCCCGGCCCTCATTTGAGTGACAATTTGTCGGACAATAAACCAAAACAAACCCAATGTTTGCAAACTTACGCCAAAACTTGTGTTTCATTCAGTGCTGAGACATATAGCGAGACATCTAATGGTTTGCGCTAAACATTGAAACTTCGCTTTTAATCTCAATTTTATTCAATTAATTCATAATTACTTGAAATAAAATGTTAACAAATAATTATTGAACGATATATTAGACAATGAATTGCGAAATTCAACCAAATATATCGTATTTTACGCACACTATTATAGTATATTTGTTTTTTTTAATGCAATACTGTGTTAATGTAACTTTAGTTAAGCAAACATTACTAACTTGTTGTAAATATGTTTTGCAAAGTTTTGAATTAACTTTAAAACTTTTCAATTAAACGCAATACAATATAAATATGTATTATTAGTAATAATAATTTATTACACAATAGCGTGAAATAGTTTACGGCAATTATAATTGTTATATAATCATTTAATTGTTGTTAGGTTTAATAATCCGGGTCTTATTGATATTATTGCTATATAAATATTTTCTATGATTAGTGATAAACTATAAGAATATGCAGTATTTGATGATTAGTTCAAATAACGTGTGAATCAACACTAATGTTGTATAAATAGTTACGAAACAATAAAACAATTTGCGCTCAACTCATAGATTGTGTTCGCATTTTGAGTGTTTCACTCTCTTATCAATTATGGTATTCAATATTTATAGGAAATTATCTCAATTTCACTGATAAGTGACAACAAAACACCGGAATATCATTGAATAAAACCAAATCTATTCAAACCATTCGTCATATTTTCTATACATTTATTACAATATCATAATTTGTCGCCAAATATCATACTGCAGTTAGAAATTAGTTTAACAATTATGGTCGTCAACATTGATTGCAATACTAGTTTGTGTTACTGTAATACTTTTGTATTAAAATAATATTCATAATTATTATCGTTTGTTAAAATTAATTAATTAGTTATTTAAACGATTGAAAATACATTGATTTCGTTGCTGTTATAAAACGGTTCATTCAATTTGTGTTATAAAATGTGTTTTTGTCGCCAATTATTCAATTCAGAGAAACTTTTGTTTGTTTTGTGCGAAAACTTTTGACGTCTAATTCAACTGAATTCTAGTTATTATTTTTTCCTTAAAACAATTGTTTATTGATTGTAGTGTTTGTATGAAATATTATACACAAAATGAATTCATCGACTAATAGCCATCCCATCGAACCAACAATGGATTCGTTTACCAATAAGAATATATTGAAAGATAATATGAATAATGGGTTTCTGAATGAGAGGGACTCTCGAAGAGGATTGTTTGATGAGATGAAACGAGTCGAAGAGGAATCACTCGTCAGCACTAAAGAGACGTTGGGTTTGATTCTCGAGAGCGAAAAGATTGGTGTGAAAACTGGTCGAGAGTTAGTCCGACAAAGAGAGACATTGAATAGAGTGGAGGACAAGTTGGTGTCCATTGACGGCAGTTTAGATGAGACACAAAAGCATTTAAAATCCATAAAAAGTGTTTTCGGAGGTTTTAGAGAACTTTTCTCGAAGAAAAAGTCAATCAATAATAATATCAATAAAAGTGTAAATGAAAGTGAATTTCTTGAAGAACTCGATACCTATGAAGTCGTGTCAATGAATTCCGTGAAGGACTTCAATAAAAGTGATTCCAATGGCAAAACATATAGCGTTGGATTCGATGAGACGGACTCCACTTCTCCGACCGCTAATATACAAAATGCTGCGAACTTTTTGAATGAATCCAAACAAACAAACGATAAAATTGAAGACAATTTAAATCAAATAGATATGGGAATTGAAAGACTAAAACAATTGTCATTAGGTTTGGGCAATGAAATTGATTCGCAAAACTCATTGATCGACAGAATCAGTAAACAGACAGAAAAGGCTGAAATCCGGGTTAAAGAGCAAAACCAACAAATGACTCGTATATTGAGGAAATGATTTCTTCAATTCCCATTCAAGTCATGCCATTATTTCACGAATCCTTAAAATATTGAACTATTCATCAAATGTCATGTGATTTGAAGTATTGGACAACAGTTTGATTTGTCTTTCAATCAACAAATGGTTCTTTCGATGCATTATTTTATAATAATCTATACACTAATGATATGACGTCTCTTCCGATAACATTAAAGCAATAATTAATGTAAAACTCATTTTCACTAATAATTGAAATAACATATCATACGATGGCTTCTCTCTTAAATGCATTCAATTTTCTTAAAATAATAGTTTTTAAATAAATCTTTTCTTATATTTATATGAATTCGTTATATTGAATACAACATAAAACTAGCAGTAATTTATATTTTGTTAGTATTTTTATCTAAAAAAATTATTTGAACATAAACATTTTTAAATCACACATTTTTAACATTCATCATTAGAATAATGAATTGAACGCAATGTTTGTATTTATAATATTTTTATTAAATAATAATATCAATTATAATTTACGCTAAAAACAAATTTCTTACAAAGATATCGGAATTAAAAAAGAAACTAATAATAAATACAATAATAAAGGGATAATTGAAAGGATAATTGGTATTGAATTGGTAATAAACGCTAAATACAGTGCAACTGAAATCAATTAAATTGTTAGATAAATAATATTCAAACGATCAAAAGTAATAATTATTTATAATCAAAATACTTGTTTACAAAGAAGTCATGGGATTTGCAACAAATATCTTACTTTTTGATACGTTTTTCTCTCAAATTCTCCGTTAAATTTGTATTATTTTTCACATTTCTTTTGGGCAATGATTTGGGACTCAAAGCGAGCGCTGAATTAGTCTTTGATCTCGAATTGCGACCAATCGGTTGAGTCATAAGTGTCTCCTGTCTGACAGGTGTGCGGCGACGGATGGCAACAGCGATGTCATCCATTTGCAAGTCCTCTGCCATGTCTTCAGAGGCCGATTGTATTGAATTATCGCGAACTCGTTTGGCGCGAGTGGTGGGCGTTCTCTGAGACTTTCGCTTCACTGTCTCTTTGTGGACGTGTTGCTCATCCTTAATGGCTTTGACACCACTTTTCTTGTCGTATTCACTCATCCGTCGCTTCAAGTCCTCTAATTCTGCTTTCAATTCTGCGATTATCTGATCCTTTTCTAAGGAACTCTTTTCCGATTCTTTGGCTTTGCTCTTAAGGGCTGTTATCTCTCTCTTAATGACAGAGAAGTCTTTTAATTTGACTTTGATTTCATTGAACTCCTTTTTGATAGTGTTTTGCGAAGTTTGCATTTGTTTCATCAAATTGTTACTAATATTGGATTTGTTGGTCTCCTGATCACCGAATGGACTGCTTCTCGGAGTCTGATAGGCAGGCGTCGAACTCGATGTCGACGGAAGCGATCGGTGACACGAACTGATTGGCGACGAGTTGAGCGAACCAACTGTTGTCATAACAGTGGCCGAAGTGGACAGTTTGCTCTTCAGAGACGGCGCGATCTTCTCTTCGAAGTACTCCATAGCCATGGATGAGATGTCGCGCAGCTCTTGAAGCAGTTCGTGAACTCGAGGAGGATTTGGATTGTTTTGTATGAATCGTAACACTCTATAGATCTCATCGATTACTTTGCCCGGAATGAAACAGCAGAGAGTCATCTCCACGTACTTCATATAAGTCATCCCTAAAACACATTCAATGGTCAGCTATTATCACATCAAACCATTCACTCAATGCTCTTCACATGTCATGTCTTAATGTTAGTTACAAACTGTGAAAACGTGTTTGAATTTAAACATATGCCTAAACTCTACTCAACATATCTATGGTATAAATGCATGCAATCAACACATAAAGACATGAACAGCGAAGACATGTGAGAAATGCAATCAATTAATCAAATGAATAGTAACCTAAGAGGGAAAGCCTGGTCTCGATGGCGGACAAGACATCGCAATGTCGGGCCAATGGATGGCTCCTGCGTTCGGACTCACGCCTCGGGAGCTGTTGTTTGACGCGTTTGAAGCAAATGTTGTGGTATTTCTCCACTTTCACGAAACCTCTGTTCAGCAGTCGTTGCGAACACGAGTCGAAGAGACGACAAACGGATCTGACTCTCGCGATCTCGTCGTACGAGACGTAAGTCATTATCAGTTCCAACAGCTCTATCGGCAGATCACAGATGTTGTTGCAGTCACTCATCTTCTGGCGCTCGCGAGTCAAGTAGAGATCAATGTCCAGCTTATGAGCCGATGGATCAGTTGTGGCGATCGCAGGCACAACACTATCGGCCATCAAATGGTTTAAAACAATGTTTATATCAAACGAGTTGTACATAAAGTCCTCCAAATCAAGGGTTGTATTCATTTCTATCCAATAATAGCATTGATTTCAATACAACGCTAACCAATAGAGGGATTCATTTTCACACACTTTTTGCGTAACACTATATTTGCGTCGATTCTCTATTCACTCGTTTCTAATGCAAAACAATCCCTTTTATGACTACATATTGTTTGTTGTATTTGTTGTGAATTTCATATTAAAAAGCACTAAATGTTAAACAATACTCAATATTGAAAGAAATTACAATAAATGCTCATTAATTGCAACACTAATTAATGACAATTAATACTGATTTAAACTAAACTAATGTTCATTAAAAATCTAGTTAATAGTAATACAAGTTTATTAAACAATGAACTAATGTATGAATACATTTGAAAACATAGGACTCACTAAAGGACTCGATAAACGTGTGAACCTATAGTTGTGTTAAAGCCTTTCGGATCGGCTCTCAAGTGATTCAGCGATTTGTCGACAATTGAAAGACAACTGAAAGACAACACAAAAAGACATTTAAATTAATTAATCGTTTATTGAATTAATACTAATCGTTGAAAAGCATGGATAAGAAGGAGTCGGGAGGCGTGAAAGTGCTGAACCCATCGCAACCGGAGCTGTCGGTCAGCGTTCATCCGGAACTGGCGGTGACTAAAGTAGTGGTCCATCCGTTGGTATTGCTGTCAGTCGTGGATCACTTCAACCGAATGGGCAAAATCGGGAACCAGAAGCGAGTCGTCGGCATTCTCTTGGGATCACTCAAAGCCAAAGGCATTCTCGACATATCCAACAGTTTCGCCGGTAATTGACATTGATTTCTGTGATTGCATTCATTACTTGTCTAACATGTGTTGTCGTGTCTGATGTGTTGCCAACAGTTCCGTTCGATGAGGACGAGAGGGACCGCAGTGTGTGGTTCTTGGATCACGACTATCTGGAGAACATGTACGCCATGTTCAAGAAGGTGAACGCGAAGGAGAGGATCGTTGGCTGGTATCACACCGGACCCAAACTCAACCAAAACGACATCTCCATCAACGAACTGATCCGCAAGTATTGCCACAACTCTGTGCTCGTTATCATTGACGCCAAACCCCGAGATCTGGGACTCCCGACGGAGGCCTACATCGCGGTGGAAGAGGTTCACGACGACGGGTCGCCCACTTCCAAGACATTTGAACACGTTTTGAGCGAAATCGGCGCCGAAGAGGCCGAAGAAGTGGGTGTCGAACACTTGTTGCGTGACATCAAAGACACCACTTTAGGCACATTGTCTCAGAGAGTGACCAATCAGTTAATGGGTCTGAAAGGTCTTGAATCGCAGATCGATTCGATCCGCAAGTATTTAGAACTCGTGGTGAACAACAAACTGCCGATCAATCACCCCATCATTTACTTACTCCAAGACATCTTCAATCTGTTGCCCAACACTTCCCAAGAATTGTTCGTGAAGTCCACGTTTGTCAAGACCAACGACCAGATGCTTGTCGTCTATTTGGCCGCTTTGGTCCGTTCGGTGATTGCTTTGCATAATCTCATCAACAATAAGATCACTAATAGAGACGCAGAGAAAAAGGAAAATCAACCCAAAGATACCAAACTCAAGGATAATAAGGACTCGACCGCAGAAAAGGACTCAAAAGACTCCAAAGAGAGTAATGAGAAGAAAGATTCGGATTCTAAGAGCAAAAAGACTTCAAAATAGGGCTATAATTGTATTGTTTTTGTGTAATATTTAACATTGATTCGTAACTTTGTTTTAATAAAATTCAAAATTATTCTAACATTAAATTTCATTGAATTCACCAAAAGTTATATTCTTGACATATATATTGGGTAACAGTTAATGAAATAAGTATAAATAGTTGAGCGCATACTAAATGTGTTGTTCGGCATATTGTTGAACATAAGCTATAAATTAGATGATAAGCTATGGTATCAAATAAAGACCTCGTATTTATTGCAATGTTAAACACGGATATGACTACAAGAAAAAAAGCTAATCAATAGTAGAAGTGAAGAGTATAGTACAGTATTAGCGGTCAACAAAAATGCATCCAAACTTTCCAAAGTGTTAATCAACTTTTGCAAAGTGTGTGCAGAGTTTGAAAACTATCGCAAACTTTAATCCATAATCATGTGTTTAAGACCTATCTCTTCAGTGGAAACTATATATGCTTTTTGATCACTAAATAATCATTTGATTGCATATTAAATGTGCGATCAATAGTTAGTATACGATAAATGTGTGAATAGTTTGGCAATAGAGTGAGTGTTGTAATAATGTTGAGTGAAATAAGCTGTGAATAAGCCGTACTCTCAAGAGTGAGATACGGATTGAATGCGTAAAAAAGAAACGCAAACGTAATGTTTGAGTGAATGTATGAACTATTGGTGTAATACTGTGTGGAGAGTGGAGTGAGTGCTGACAAGTGCTGAGTCTATGCAAGCGTTCAATGCATTCAATGCAAGCCTTCAATGCGATAGTCGTCACAAAATATTGTCTCTCTTTGTGTTCGCCATTACTTTTGCATTAGTTTTGCTATACTTTCAGTGCTTTTCAATCCATACCTCAAGTGTTGATCACTTGTGCCATCGAAACGGTTACCTCTGTTTTGGTCGACCACTCATTGGAGACATTGTGTGAGACATTACAGACATCTCTACACAGTGTGTGTGTTGTGTGCCATCAGTGGACGATTGGATCAATTGATGGTTAGGTGTCCTCCGAATGAATGCGAACCCGAATAATGAATCGCTGTTTCGGTACGAGTTTTCATAATGAAGACCTCTTGTA